GGATGGGTGGGTGGATGGATATATGGATGGATGGATGGATGGATGGATGGATGGATGGATGGATAGGTGGATGGGTGGGTAGGTGGATGGGTGGATGGGTGGATGGGTGGGTGGGTGGGTGGGTAGATGGGTGGATGGATGAGGTCATGATTATTTACTACACCTGTTCTGTGGGCAGCGCTCACCAACCTAGGCTTTATCATGCCCACAAACTCATTTAATTTCACAATATTATGAGTGAGGTGTTATAGGCTCCTTTTATAAGTTGAGAACTGTCCTCTGAATAATGATGTGGCTTACTGAGAGCCAGGCTGGCCTGCATGACAGCTCTCCATGTGAGATCGGGTTCTCCACATCCAGCAGTCTCTCTGTTCCACTGTCCTGTTCCTCAATGTCCTGGTAGATTATTACTTGTGTTTCTTCCACCAGGGTAAGAACGGATCACCGGGATCTCCAGGAGACCCTGGCCCTGCAGGAAGCCCTGTGAGTACTCCCACGGCTATAAGGTGGCATCAGGGCCAGCTTTGCAAGGGGCATGGCTTTCACATCACAGATTGCCTGTTCTCTACCCCTAGAAGCATCAGTGGGAAAATACGGTATTTGAATGATAGAAATAGGCTGGAAGTGAGAGGCTCCAAGAAGGACCCCTTTCAAAGTCTAAAATGCATGCGATTATGCACTTGGTTCTCTGTACCAGTCATACAAAGGTACAAGCCTATTAAGACTAAAGAAGCGTGTAATAAGGTTGCACTCTAGACGCTGCATATTTTTAGAGGATGGAGGGACAGGGTCAGGCCTACCAGCCGTTACCCGAGTAAGGACAGGGTAAGTGTGTAATGTGGGGATAGGTATGAGACAGATTGTCTGAAGGGGGTATTCCTAGTGGTAAGGAGGTGGAGACTGGGGAGGGCAGGAAGAAACAATGGGTGGGATCCGTGGGTAGTGGAAGGAACATCCAGGTCACCGGATTTGGGATTAGGTCTGGTAGATGGGGAGACATGCTGGAGAAAATGGTTCTCTGATGGATTCAGGGGTCAGATGAGTCAAATCCTTTCCACAAGTCTCCTCCCAGCCTAGCCTTCTTGTAACCACCACCCCACCCACCCCGGGCTTGGTGAGTCAAGCAACAGTTGTGCTGGACAGTGGGCAGACCAGTTGGCTGGCTAACTGTCGTCATTGTGGAAATGAGAGTGACCCGTCCGTCCTGGTTTGCCAGGAGCCTCCCTGGTTTTAGCCCAGAGAATCCTGCATCCTGGGAACCTCATCATGCTCAGGCAAACCTGGCATCTGGTCACCCCAGTGGAGACTCATCTTTCTGTTAGACCTGGGACAGCTGCACTAGAAGAACTTAAACTCCTTAGCGAATGGAATGACTGATGTTTCTCAGAAGCCATGGTGTGAGGCTTGTCACTGCTGGTGAGATGAGATGGGACTGGGCCATGAGTCTGGCTTCGTGCCTGGCACAGAGCTGGCCCCAGAAGAGCTGACTCACACATGTGGCTACCCGGAAGGGCTGGAACTGAAAGAGTCCCCAAAACTGCTCCCCAGAGGCGATCCTACCAAACCAGGAGCCTTGCTGTGCTATTGGGAATAAGTGTACTAAGGGCGGCTTGGAGGGGCCACACACACACACACACACACACAGACACACACACACACACACACACACACACACACACACGCACACACACACACACACACAGCAGAGTGTTTTTGTTAAATTTTTCTCCCATTTGCTTCTGTTGCTTTGATTGGGAGGAGATGTTTCTTGTCTTGCCCCAGCCCCAACAATGCTGTCAGGACACAGGGTAGCCTCCCGACCGGCTGCCTTCCCATACCAGAAAGGGCCATTCTTCTCTTTGTTGACCCCTCAGAACACAGCGGGGTTACGAGGCTTCTGAGTCTCCTCGGGTCTGCACTTGACCTTGCAGCGTTGATATATCTGTCCTCCCTCTGCAGGGCCAGAAGGGGAACAAAGGAGACCACGGCAGCCCGGGACTCCCCGGCTTTCTGGGTCCCCGGGGGCCTCAGGTAAGCAGAGAACTCCCTGGGGGGCCAGGTGCCCAGCTCTGGTAGGAGTTTCCACCCACTGTATCTTCAGGTCCTCCCGCTCAGGTCATGTCACGGTCACGTCATGGTGCCAAGGTGGCAGTGTGCATTGGCTGAAACAGGCACTCACGTGTCACCTGCGTGGGAGTCTCAGCTCCACCACCGGACCTTGGGCTGCTCTCATAGCCTCCTCTGTGCCTTAGTGTCCTCATTATTCCAGTGGGGATGTAAGAGCATACACCTGCGAGCATTAGGTGAGGTGATGGGTGCACAGAGCCCAGCAGCGGTGCCCAGCCCAGGGCATCCGCTGCGTAGGTATAGACTGCTTTAATGGTGGTTGGGCTGGGGTGGTGGTGCTAATAACGATCCTAAAACTTCGAGGACCGTTAGAAACCATGTTAAAGGTGGTTGAATTTGGGCTGCAGGGTCAGAACATGTAGGTATTTTTTTTTTGAGGCCGCGTGGTCAGTCCGTGCTCCAGCTGGACCTTGAGTCCTGGCCTCCTGACTAGCAGGTGTGATACAGGGATGCCGTCCGGTGATCTTTGCCAGGTCTCTGGGCGGAAGAATGCTGAGGCATCCAAACGTTTCCAGCCGGGCTCCTGGTGCGTCCCACATGCCACGGTCCACACCGTGGGCTGCCAGCCACGGCATGAGGGTGGTATGTCCCCTGCAGGAGTAGGAAGCTTACCCATGTTCCTGTCCGCTCCCTCCAATTTAATCCTGGCCCCAAGGATGCCCCTACCGCCCAGCTAGCCCAGCCACTCCCGTGGCCACTCCTCTTTTGCCCATTTCTACCATGTAGCCCAAGCCCTTCCATGCTGCATCCACTGATTTTTACTTGAGGCCATTCACTCTGTTGCCCAACTGTTAATGGTCCAAGCTGCCTCCCCGACCCCCTTCCTGACCCCCTGGGAGCCATGTCGCTGCCAGGCACCCATTCTTCTAGACTTGCAACCCTGGTTCTTTCGAGTCATGCTGATAGCAGAGTACATATTGGCAAGTACAGCCTCTGCTCCCATTGTGCAGATGGAGAAACTGAGGCACAGAGAAGTCGAGGAACTTGTGCAGATGGAGAAACTGAGGCACAGAGCTCTGAGAACTCGAGAAAATTATAAGGAGATTGTCCAAGCTCACGAAGCCGGTTACGTGGAGCAGCCAGGATTGGAACCCAGACTGCTCGCTCTAGAGCCCAGTGTGTGTCTGGTGGCTTATTTTACACTCTGAGCCCACTTCTCAGGAGGACCCCCCACCACAGCTGGACACTCTGTAAAACCCATATCCCGGACGCCCTCTTGGTGGAGTCCCAGCCATCCCGTTGGCGGGGAGCCCAGAACCGGTGGCCCCCTTGCCACTCTGGGGCGGTTTGTGCCTCCTCCCGCCCTCGCTGACTAGAGAACCTGTCAGAGGTGTCCTTGGTCGGCTGGACCATTGATTGCTGCCTTCGCTGGAACACGACTTGGGTGAAAATGTCTGCTTTGCAGACAATGTGCTGACGCTGCAGAGCCTGCTGATACCTTGTTCTGTCTTGTAGGGGGAGCCAGGAGAGAAGGGCATCCCAGGCAAGGAGGCAAGTATAGAGTGCGCCGCCTCCCCTTGGCCGCCCTTCCCTGTGGGGGACGCCGGAGCGGCTTCGGCTTCGTGGGCAGTGACACACACAGGCTCGTGGCGCCCGGCTGGGTCCCGCGCTCACTTGAGCGCCCCGCTGTCACTGTGTAGATCCTATCTCGTTGTGCACGGGGACCCACCCATTCGGCAGCTGGTCCGGGGTGCCTCTTTCGCTAACACGTCTCTGTGTCCAGTGTCAGTAAATCCTATCGGTTGCAAGTTCGAAATGCCACCGCTCTGTCCGGTTCTCCCCATGCCTTCTGCGAGGACTCCCGTCCAGGCTGCCACCATCTCCTGCCTGGACGATCGCAGTGACCACCCACCGCCCCCCCGCCCGTGTCCAGCCTTAGCCCTCCCCGCCCCCACAGCCCGCTCCCGCCCGCAGCCCCTTTGCAGAGCACACACAGGACCATGTCGCCTCCCGGGCTGGCCTCCGCTCTGCCCTCCCTGCCCTTGCTGGAAGCTAGGTGGCCTGGCTCCACCAGCTCCCCTCTGAGTCTGACCCCCAGGAGCTCTGCCTTTCAGCCCCTCAAACCTGCCAAGTTCTTTGCCAAGGGCTCTCATGCACACCGAGGCCCTTCCCAGAAGCCCTTGCCACGCCCCTCCTCACTCTCCACTCCTTTGCATGCCTGGTCTTGATGAGCCTGAGGTCTGTGCCGAAACGTTGCCTGTGTGGACTTTTCCTCAGCCACTGGGACACAGTGACACCCCACTGTGCTGTGTCCTAGCACCCTGCTCTGTTGGCCCGGGAGCCCGGCGAAGAGCAGGCGGCAAAAATTCGTGATGAGGAACCGAAGACGGAAGGAACACAGAGAAAGGAGTTTCTGCAGCTGCTGGCGTGTCCATTTCCCAGCCCGCACACGCCCAGCGTGGGGGACAGCCATGTTCACTCTGAGCCTGGGGGTTACTCTCCTAGCTCAGGGAGGGAGGCAGGCGGCTTCCTTAAAGCCAGATCGAACGGCTTAGTGTGTCGCAGCCTCTGCCTCCGCCCGAGCCGTGCTGTCCACTCATGGGCATAGTGCTTGCTCTCCGATCCCTGTTTCTTCCTGCTGCCTAGATCGAGCGCAGGGGAAACGGCCCCAGCTCGCACTTCAGAGCTGCTCCGTGACTCTCTCTGGCTCCCTGTTGCCTATGGGAATGAGTCCGGCCTCTGAGCAGGCCCTGAGTTCTGCCCTGAGCCGACCCCACGCTCTCTCCAGTGTGAGCTCCTGCCTCCTGTGCCCCGTGCACGCCACGGCCCCAGTCCTGTCTCCAAGGCTTGGTCTTCACTCCTCCCTCCACCTACAGGGCCCGTCCCTACACCTCTGCCTGTTAGGTTTTATGTGTCCTTCAAGGCGCCAAGCCTCCCAACACACAGTCATGCACTTCTCCCGGGGTTCCCGAAGCATCTTTTCGTATTTCTATTAGAGAAATAAATGGGTCTGCCCTGTGTGTAAGCTGTGCCCCCATCTGGCTGTCAGCTGAGCCGCGAGCCCCGTGAGAACAGGGCTGTGACTTGCTCTTCTCTCTGCACAAGTCGAGGGCTACAGGTGCACCCGTGTGCCAGGGCTGATGTGACAGGTGTGACCCCATCTCAGAGGAGCTGCGGAGTATTTGTTCTACTTCCTTCCTTCTCTGCAGACCCCTTCTGTCCCTGCAGCAGGAGACAGGGCATGAGCCCCGGGCCGACTGCCCCCTGCTTCAAGCCCTGGAGTTTGTATTCTTGAACGGAGTGCACAGCAGGGTTTGGAGGGACATGGTGGAGTCCGGAGGTGGATAAGCACAGGACCTGCCTTCCAAGTGCTTGTGGTCCCAGGGGAATGCCCCTGTCACCTCATGTGGGGACAGTGGCAGTGAAGCGTCAGCTGGTGACAAGGGAACCCATGCATGCGGGCGGACACTGGCCGGAGGGCTTTGCAAGGGAGGCGGCAGAGGGGCTGGGGGCAAAGTGGGGTAGAGAGAGATCCCAGCTGCAGTGGGTCGCAGAAGCAAGGAGGGAGTGTCCTAGCAGTGAGGACCACGAGGCTGTGTACCCCATCACCGGCCCCAAAGTGACTGCCCTCCCGGAAGGGTGTGGGGTCCCTACCTAAGTGCCGGGCGGTCAGGGAGGGCTTCTTGGAGGGGAGGCCTGAAGGCCACGTGGGATTTATCCTAGAAAAAGGGACAGTGATTAGTCAGCTTGGCCACCACACCATTACCCTGGACTGCGTGGCTGAGAAAGACATTTCTCATGGTTCTGGTGGCCGGGAAGTCCAGGATCAGGGTTGTTGGCAGATTCTGTTCCACCCTTCCCTAATTACACCAGCTGGCTACCTGGTCCCTGTGCCCATTTCCCCATTTCCATCATGGGGCCACCCTCACGACCTTATCTAAACCTAAATAGCTCGCGGAGGCCCCACCTGCTAATCGTCACACTGGGGATTATGGCTTCAGCATATAAATGGGGGGCAGGGGGCACAGACCTTGTGTGCATGGCAGAGGGGGTGTGTTGCAGGCAGCAGGAAGATGGGCTGCAGGGGCCAGGAGGCAGCGGGACCACATGCTCCCTGCGGTGGGCAGTCACAGAAGTTCTTTGGATCAGCGGGAGGCAGGGCAGCCTGGCCACAGGGGCAGTGAGCACTTACGGAAGCCCACATCCTGCAGGGCCTCCTGGGCGTGTTTGGTGAGAGGGTCTGTCCCAGAAAAGGGCAGAGGAGGAATCCTAAAGGCGCCGGGCAGGGGCTGGTGCTGTCGGTGCCTCGTGGGTCTTGGCAGGAGTGGAGGAGGGAAGGAAGTTATGCCTACAAAGTCTGGACGAAGGCTCTTAGAGGTGCTGACTTCCCAGCTTTAATGCTAACACAGAGGTTGCCAGTGGGTGGCCCTGATTAAGTGACCCTCGTCCTTTGGACTCATTGCAGGGCACCCCCGGGAAGCCCGGAGAGCCAGGACCCAAAGGAGAAAGGGTAAGTGAGGGAGGTAGTTACTGAATGTGACCTTTGCAAGGAGCGCGGACCCTATCAGGTGATTCGGCAACAACAGCCAAGCACAAGAGGAGCTTGCCAGCCCGCTGCGCCCTGGAAAATCCCTGGCCCACAAAGAGATTGTTGTAGTGAATGTTGTTATTTTTCCTTTCCTTTTTTTTTTTTTTTTGGATGTTATTTTAAGGAGTAAAATCATCACAATTACAGGGCTTCAAGTGTTCTGAGACTTTGACAATTCCCCTCATCCCAGACGGAAGCCTGTGGCATTGCTCCAGCTCCCAAAGTGCCAATCTACCAGGAGCCAGATTTGTCACTGGAGGTGACAAGGGAACAGACACCATAATGAGTGTAGCGGGTGCTACCCTCACAAAGCCTCTCTTTCCATTTCATTCCTCCAAAAAACAACAGGGAAAGTTTTTTTGGGTTTGGTTGTGGGTTTTTGTTGTTGTTGTTGTTGTTGTTGTTGTTTGGGTTTTTTTTTTTTTCACCAGAAATGCCAGTGTGGGAAGGAGGTGTTTTCGTACTCATGACAACTTCTGTCCTCTTTAGAAGAATCAAACATCTCATTTGCCCACAGCCCTCCATTTGGTCAGCAGTCACACTGTCACACTGTTGCACAATGTGGATGTTGCAGCCCACACCCCACACCCCACCCCCGGCTTGTTTTCCACGGTCCTGCAGAGAATTTATCACTGCTTTCTTTGCAGTTTGGATAGGTGAGGAGTTGGGTTTCTCCTGTAGGCTGGAGGAGACAGAACGATAGCAGCTGAGAATGTCAGAGATTGAACCCCCGCTGGATCTCTCTCCCTCCTTCCTTCCGAGCGACTGGATTCCTCTGTGCTAGGGCTGTTGGTTCCTAAGGATGGGACCAGGGAACGCGGCTGTGGCTGAGGAGGCATTGACAGTCCCCCACGCCAGTGTCATACAAGTGTCCCCGGGACCTAAGGCTGCCAGGGGTGGCCTGAGATTTGGCTGGCAGCCAGGGAGTTCAGACCGCAAATCTCTTCTCTGATACCTAATCAATAAATGGAGAATTGCCTTCTCCCTGTTAAGTGGTTTAGTGGAACATTGCCAATCCTTTGCCCTCCTGGGAACGTTTGAAATCTGGGACGAGTCCTCCCCCTGCAAAGTGATATTGAGACATTTAATGAATAGGAAATGCTGTACCGCAGCTGGGATACGGCCTTGGCATTCAGGTGCACGAAGCCCTGGGACTCTCACTGACCCCTGATCGCCAACCCGACAACGTCCCCATGAAATGCATCATGCCCTTAAGTCAGGCCTGCCCCTGGGATTTTGCTGAATTAATTTGAAATTCACCGTTCTTTTCGTTACTGTTGAAAAAGCTTTAGGGACATATAGTTAACCATTGCAAATTGCAAAAATGTGGCTGCAGTGAAAAGCAGTGTCCTTTATGGCCCCCGTCCCCTTTCCCAGGGTCGATCACTGGACATTTTCTTTCATGTTCCAGCCCTGTGGGTGTGTGTGTGATAAATACGCATCTGCCTTTTGTTAACCCCCTGGAACATATCAGACTTTGTCCATCATTTGGCTCTTTTGTTTCTCATTGGAGCATCCGTGTTGGAGGTAGTTTTGTACCTGTAGTCTGCTTTTCCTTGGCTCTGGGCCACGTCCATAGCCACGTCCCATTTCCAGCTACCATCTTGCTCCCCCTCTTTCCCTGTGTTGCTTCCTGCAGCACTGGAGTCCTGGTAAACCCTGAGCTCGTCGAAGTGGCCGCCTATTTTCAGACACACCAACACGCGGGACTTGCTGGTCAGACCCACACTTGCACATTGGGCAGAGGACTGGATGGTCCCGTGGTCGCCATGGCTCCCAAATCACCGATCCAGGGCTTCGAAGTCTGGGTCAGGGATGGGGAGCAGAGCGTCCCGGTCAGTGTCATCCCATGTGGGCCCAGCAAAACTGAGAATAGCAGGAAGTCACCTGCAAGTGGGGCTCCTCCATCTAAAGAGTAGCTGTGTCTGTGCAGCTGACAGCAGACCAGCGGAAGTGGCCCGCACCCCCGGGAGTCAGGTTCAACAGGCAGATGGAACCACACACACTGTGGTTGGAAATCAGATCTCTCCTCTTGTCCTCTGCAGACTACCTGTGTGACTGAGACAGGTGGCTTTGTCTCTGGAGCCCGTGTCCTTACCGTGTCCTTACCTGAGACACAGGCGTGAGAGGACTGAGGTCTCCCATCCAGCGCCCCAGGACGGGGGATGAGGGGACCCCCTACGCTGCACACACCTGTCTGTGCTGGGTATCCCTGCCAGTCCTCTGCTCACTGACGTGCTTCTTCCCTCTAGGGAGACCCCGGGAACAAAGGTGACAAAGGACCCCCTGGTGGGAAGGGCCAGCCTGGGGACCCTGGAATCCCCGGTCACAAAGGCCACACAGGCCTGATGGGCCCCCAAGGACCACCTGGGGAGAATGGACTGGCCGGGCCCCCGGGGCCTCCGGGACAGCCAGGATTTCCGGGACTGAGGGTAAGGATGCTGATGTTGCCTTACACTTGGGAGATGCTGGTGAGGTGTGTGACCATCAGAGGGACCAGGTTCTAGATCCCCCCCATCTGGGCCTGCCCGTCCCTGCCCAAGGTGGGAAGGAGACAGTCTCCTGACTGGTTTGTTGTGATGACTAGGTGAGATAGTGTGCACAGTGCAGGGAGTGCTGGAGAGTATAGTCCCTCTCCTCCTCCACCCTCTGCTCCATGCAGTGAGTCCTCAGGCCTGACTTCTTCAGGCTCCGGCACCAGTCTTCCCCGGGACCCAGTGTAAAAGTCGACTAAAAAGCGCACCAGCTCTTAGCCGTATGAGCATCCCCCATGGGATGCGGAGGGCTTGCCGATCCGGCCAATGCCTGGGTCTGTCATTCCTCTTTTCTCCCTATCTGGGGCACTCACTTCCCCTCTGGGTCTTACTTTTCCCAAACATGAAAGGACAGGCTTATTTAGAGCAGTGTTTTTTCTTGAAACACGTTTTATTCTAGTGGCAGAACTCTCGTTTTACACAAACCTGTACCATGAGCACACATGGGCTACAGAGGAAAAAAAGCAGAGCTACCCTGGTGTAAGTGGTTGTGGGGGAGGTGGGTTCCTGGTCAAGGTGACCTCACCTTCCCCCCTCTGCAGCCCTGTGGTCTCCTGGGGGCCCTCCTGTCCTCAGAGCACAGGCTCAGGTGACCTCCAGTGTCCCTGCCAGCTCTGACCCTCTATGGTTCTGTCACTTCCCGGTGGTCTGGGGCAGCCAGAAGCTGGGCTCTCAGTCAAGTCCAGGAGGGGGACTGCAGGGCACGGGGGGCGGCGGGGGGAAGCTTCCAAAGCCCTTGCTGAATACTCCTGGTCCTGCTGCCCTGCGTAGCAATGGAAGTCCTGGGACCGGCATATAAGATTGACCAGGAAAGAACACCGAGAATAATGAAGTGGAATCCAAGTCATGGTCCTACTGGGCACCTCCATGCCAGGTGCTGGGGCTGCAGATACGAGTGCAAGGAGACCCTCACCCTGAGGGTGGACACTGCCCTGATCCAGCAGGCATGGTGTGAGGACTGCTCTTACAGATTCCTCTAAGAATCACGTGTCACCCTGTGAGCCCAGGGTGTGCTCTGCTCCCCTGGCCCATAGACTCAGCTTCTTTGAACCCAAAATCAGGATTGTCAGGCACGTGGGTAGGGCCAAGGTGAACAGAGCAAGGAAAATCAGACCCAAGAGTGGCCAAGCGGCTGGTGAGGGAAATCGAATATGAATCCATGCAGGAGGCAGCCCGCGGGCTGGTCTGGAAGTAGACGGGACTTCGGCAGGGAGAGATTTGGGGCCAGAACCTCTCAGGTCTGGTGCTGGGGAGATGGCTTCTGCAGAAGACGTTCCAGATAAGGAGCGGGAAGGACAGAGAGAGTGCCAGCAGAGGCCTCGGGTGACTGTATAAGATGGGAGGAGGCCGCTTGCGTGGCCAAGGGAAAGGGAGCCAGTTCTGGGAGTGATAAGGGTTGGACCAGGAAAATGTGGTACGCGTTGTCTGTGCCTCCTGGATTCCGGGGCCACCAGGGGTCTGGGTGGCAGGAGTTCACGGGGAAGGTAAGTAATTCCGCCTCCCGTCCCTTCCAGGGGGAGTCTCCCTCCATGGACACCCTGCGGCGGCTCATCCAAGAAGAGCTTGAGAAACAGCTGGAAAGTGAGTAGCTGACCACGGCTAGCCACGTAAAGGCCTCTTGAGGGTCCGGGAAGCAGTCCCTCCTTCACCCTTCAGGACCTCTGCAACCCGGTTTGGAAAAGGCTGTAGGAGAGCAGCTCACATGTAGAAACCATGCAGAAACCAGAGGAACACCGTGCAGGCCCTAGACCCACAGACCCCTCTCGGAGCCTGTCTTTACCTCGCTTTAACGCCTCTCATGAGGGAAGCTCACCATCCACAGAACCATCTGTACCACCGTCGGCCATACATCCTGTGCGTTCGGTCCCGAGGGGAGCAGGGACACACAGTGCTTTCAAGGCACTAGATTCCTTTTAATCCTACTGTAGTGGACTTATTGTGAAATCCCAGTCTTGCATGAGCCCAGCACACAGCAGGTGCTCCGGGAGGGAGCAAGGTCGGAAGCTAGTAGTAATGCCAGCCTGCGGGGCCTGCCGTAGGTCAGGTGGTGTCCTAAGCACTCACAGGGTAACTCACGGAAGCCTCCCAAAGGTCAGGAAGCATGTTTGATCGTTAGGAGCGGAGATGCTGAGTAACTTACCGGAAGCGGAACATCTGGTAAACGTCTGAGCTGTGCAGGCAGCCTTTGCTGCAAAATCCCTTCTCTTAAGCACCACCTTCTCCCACTTCCCTCTGTCCTGGAAGCTGTTAGGAGAGGAAAGTCGTTGACAACCTATGATAGGGAAGGTCAGACATCTATAACTCTTCCCAGACCCAGATGGATGAAACAGGAAGGCATATTCATTCACATGCTCGTGTGTCAGAGAGTTACTTGCGCCCAGCATATGTCAGACTCTGAGTTGGGTGTGGGGACAGGGCGTTGGACGAGATGCTGCCCATCCCAGGCCACAGAGTGTCCAGGCGAGCATGGTCCCTCTCCACACGCAGGGCAGCCAAACACGATTACCTGGGGCAGATGGCAGGGGACGGGGGTTTGGGTGGGGCTGTGGGTTCCAGAAAGGAAGGCAACCCAAGGCTGGGATGGTGGATGCCACTGGGTGGGGGTCACATCCTGAGGTCTCCCATGTGGGCATCTCTGAGCTCTGCTTTCTGGGTGTTAGATTTACCAGTGGCAGAACTGGCCTCTGCCCTTGGGGAGTTTCCAGCCCAAGAACAGAGACAAGACCTATTTGGGAAAAGTTCAGATGGAGCATCTCCTGGGCAGAGTCCTTTCTTCCAAACAGCCTTTTGAAGAGGAAGCATCAAGTCCACTTTAAGGATGAGGAGATCAAGGCTCAGAGAAGTTAAGCCCGTTTGCTCGGGCCTCAGACCAGACCGTAGCCCGCCTGCCACCTCGTGTGCTGTGGGAGGACGGTCCCAGGGCTCTCAGAAGACCCCGATTCTGCCCTGGTTTTACCACCCAGATGCCGGGGGCTCGGGTGACCCCCCCCACCTCTCTGGGTTCTGTCACCCACCTGCAAGAAGAAGGGCTCAGGCCTGACCATGTTTGACTCTCTCAGCGGCCACCAGATGGGCACTGTGTCCCCACTGCGGTGGAAAGCCGTTAGACCTCTGTTTTTGTTTTTGCTTTGTTTCTAACGTTATTCAGTTTTGAGAGACAGAGCATGAGCAGGGGAGGGGCAGAGAGAAAGGAAGACACAGAACCCGAAGCAGGCTCCAGTCTCTGAGCTCTAAGCACAGAACCTGACATGGGGCTCAAACTCACAGAGCACGAGATCATGACCTGAGCGGAAGTTGGACACTTAACCAACTGAGCTACCCAGGCGCTCCCCTCTGGGTTTTTGTTTTTTTTTTTTTTCAACCGATTCTGTAATCTTAACATTTTAAACATGTAAGGATCCTAGACAACATCACGTCCAGCCCTTCAGTTTATCGATGAGAAATTTACTCGGATAAGTCACTAAATCGCTTAAGTGGCTTTGTGTGAGCCACTTAAGTCCCACTGCCAGCCTCCATTTCCCCAGCTGGCAATTATTACAACTCCACCTGCTGTGGGGACTGTCACCACTGGCAGTCCCGCCCTGTTCGGAGACACCAGCGTCCCCGGAGCACAGTCTTAATGCCTTACATCTTGTCCCCATCCTCACACCCAGCTGGTGGGGTAGGTGTTACTTCATTGCCTCCATTTTCCTGACAAGGACGAGCAGGCTCAGAGAGGTCAGGTAGCTTGGCCGAGGCCCAGAGCCCGTGTTGGCTGCACTGCTGTGCGCTGGCTTATGTTGTTGGCCTTCTGTGCTGGTCTCCTTGGTTCTGAACTTCATGGTGAATTGCCAGTTCATGTTCTGTCCATCACCCTCCGTCCTGAACATCTCTGTTCTCCCTCCTCTGCAGCCAAACTTGCCTACCTCCTGGCCCAGAGGCCGTCGGCACAGATGAAGTCATCTCAAGGCAGACCTGGGCCCCCGGGGCCCCCAGGAAAAGATGGGCTTCCAGGAAGGGCAGGCCCCATGGGCGAGCCAGGGCGGCCCGGGCAGGGGGGTCTGGAAGGGCCGTCTGGACCAATAGGTCCCAAAGGTGAGTGGGGACCCTGAGGAGCCATGCTTCACGCGGAGGAGGGCTGGGAAGGAACCGCACTCCGGCCAAATGTGCTTAATCTATCCCCTCTCCTCCCCCTGCAGCTCGGTAACACCCTGGGTTTGGGCATCACGTAATATTTTCATACTTGACATTTTTGGAAGATTATGCTCCCGCCAGGAAGATCGAACCGGCTCCCTCCCAACTTCCTTGTTCTCTCCTTCTCCCCTGCTCTAGCTGCAGGGGGTATTGCAAAATGCCCTCTTGCCCCCTCCCAGGGTAGAGCTAACTGAGGTGAGAACTGCAGTCTCCAGGCACATGGGGCATTGGACGCCAGCTTTAGAATTGAACAAAGTGGCTTGGAGCTGTGGCTTAAAAGGCTGCTACCTCTCCTGCTCTCAGACAGAAATCTCATCTGGGCATGGGCCCTCTGGACAACAGCAGGTCTCTCCTCCAGGGGGTGGCACCTGTCCCCCTTAGTGCATGGGGGCAAGCCAGCCGGAACGCACTCTCTTTGCAGGCAGGCAGGTGGGAAAGCAAGAGGGAGAACCAAAGCCAGCCCATCAACCTGATGATTCACTGCTCTCTGGGGAGGGGTGAGCACGAGGTGGGGGAGGGGTGGGGGGGGTGCAAAAAACACAGGATTTCTGTTGCCACTGGGGTTTAGCAACATGGATGCCCCTAACATCCTCCTCTTTCCACCTGCCAGCTCCTTACTAATTCTCCATTCGTTCGTTCATTCATTCATTCATTTGTTCATTCATTCATTCGTTCATTTCCTGTGATGTTTCTCCTACTGAAAAGTCTTTTTGTTAAATTTGTGTTCAAGTCCTATCTCTTTGGGTACATAAAACAAAATACATGAGATAAAGTCAACAAGAAAGCATATAGCATAGAAAACATCAGACTCTGACAGAAGACAGACCAAATGTGGTAAATTACAACAATAAATAAGAACAGAATAAAGTCTCCATGAACTAGCAAAATATTTTTAGTTTGCAAAAGAAAATATGTTGCATAAAGACATTTCTGGAAACAACACAGCAAAAAAAAAAAAATGAATGATGAAAAAAAAAAAAGCTGAGAGCGTGTAATCAAATCTGTACAGTATTAACTCAAATATAATCTTGAGTTTCCTCCCAGGGGGAAGGGACCCTCCCTCTTCTGAACTTCTGTTGTACTTGTAAATTGCTATGATGGTCCTTAACACATTCTGCTTCCTTTAGAATGTTCTCTGTGCCCTGTTTCATCTTTTACTGGATTTCAAGCTTCATGAGGGTAGATCTGTGTTAGCAAATACCTGTAGGGTCCAGAGTATTGGGTTGTTTACTGTTATCACCCAGTTCCTACAGGTTCAGGTGAAACGCTGTTACAACACAAGGTAGGGCAGGCATTTTCAAGTGGATGTAGGTGGACGTGTGCCTGCATAGGAGAGGGATGTGCGCAGGGACCCCAACGGGCGTGTATATACAGAGAGGGCGTGCGGCCGCATGGACCCGTGTATATATAGGGCATGTGGCTGTGTACATCCGGGTGCTGGTGTTTGAGTGAGTCCTTATGTGTATACGAATGTACGTACATATTTGCTACAATATGCGCAAATGTGCCTACGTGTGTACGTAATTGGGCAGTTATGTGCGTGAACACATGTTTATGTGTAGCTGAGGGTGCATTTGAAAGTGAGTATATGTGAATGAGTGTGGGGGAGTTTGGAGTCCCAAGTGTGGAGTGCGTGAAAGCGAGGGGGGTTGGGGCGGAAGGCTGCAGCGGCCGTGGGCTGACCCCGCACCCACTGCACGGTGCGGCTCCCTGCCTGTGCCCTCGTCACGGGTCTCCACCACCTAAGACGCGTGTTCCTCCCACAGGTGAGCGAGGAGCCAAAGGAGACCCGGGTGCACCTGGAGTTGGCCTCCGAGGGGAGATGGGGCCGCCGGGCATCCCAGGTAGGGAGGGCGCCCGGAGTCCGGGGTGGAGGGCATGGAGGGAGACACCCCGGCTCCCCAGGGACGTCTGCAGAGAGAGGCCGGGTTCAACAGAGAGGGGACAGGAACGCTGATTTGTTTTTATGAGATCTTTCTAAAAGCCCAGCTTCTTGCTGAAAAAACTGTACTATATCCCATGAGTTTTTGAGGCTTATCGTATGAAACGACCCTGAAGAAAACGGAGTTGGGGTTACAAAAGCCCGGGCAGCACCGGGAACCGCGTGCCCCCTTAATCCTTCCCAGTGCGCGTGAACTCCTCCTGCTGCCTCACTATGAACACATGATGTTAATGTTGCTCACGGCAGCATTTTCTAAACTCGCTGGCACGTGTTGCCACCCCATTACCAATTCTCAGAATGCATTTTGGGGCCAGCCGGCAGGGTGGGCAGCAGGCCCGGCTTGCCGGGGGGGGTCTGCCTTCCTGGGACACGGGGCTTGCCGTTTTACAACCTGGACAGCTCGGCCGTCCCGCTCAGTGGCCGCGTGGGGAGGTCTCTGCCGCCCGGCAGCGCCGTGGCCGGAGATGAGAGGTTATCAGTAGAAGGTGGCAGAAATGAGCCTGAATTCTTGCCGAAATCCACCTCGCCCGAGTTCCCGTTTTTATTCACATCTAGTTTACATGCTCACCCGAGGTCATTTCTGAATATGAGGCCCACAGGTAATTTTAATTTTAGTATTTAGTATTTAGGTCTTCTCGATTTTCTGAATTTCCTGCACTGGACATGTGTTGCCACTCTCATTAGAGAAGACAACTGAAAATACATCATCAGCCTTAATTGTTGACAGCTTGCCTACTTTCCAATCGCTTATAGTATTAAGAATAGTTTTTAAATAAGGCAACTCCAAATAAAGATCAAAAGGCAGAACAGAGACCGTTTAGAAAGGGGAAATAATTGTACCAGCGTGAGGTTGAGATAATGACTATACTGAAGTGGTCCTGGCTGAAGGCATTAATGACACTGCTGGTCTCAGACTTGGTCTAGGCAGGGCTATAGACTAAATACCTACTCCCAAGGCATTCATGAATTTTAGAGATCATGAAATGTCTAAAGATCTATTTAAGGGGAAAATCTACTTTTTGTCTCTTTTATAGGAAGACTCAGGTTTTCTAACATGATGACTTAGGAGGTAATAGGATTAGCTATAACACTTAGCAGTGAGCTTCCCAGTGGCCAAAGCAAAAAGGGAGATAGGCTGATTATTTGTGAAATTATAATGCTTAACGCACGGAAGAATAGAATTTGTGCCATAGGTAATATTTCTGAGCCTAAGTTTTGGGCTGTCAGTTAGCTGCATCCTATTTATGTTTTCTTGGACCATGACTTACAGAATAGGTTAATACAGTCCAAATATGCAGCTCACATTTAACCTACAGATAAAGCCCAGAAACTGCAGGATATCTGGGACAAGTTGGATACTGGGTAATAGATACTGGGAATTGGGGATGATGGTTAACTAGGAGGGATGACAATTGAGATTCATCTCCTAGAACCACGCAAGAGCATAGAAAGCCGTGTTTCTCATCCGCCTCATGTCCCTGCCCCCCGTCCACCCTTCTCTTCCTCTCCAGCAGCACCCTGATTGCTGCCCCAGTCCAAACAAAGCCACCCCCTGTCCTGCATATTCAGGTGGCCCTGCTTTGTGGTGTCCACATGGATTACTCTACCCCGGGCGACTTCTCAGCCCATGGGGCATTTTCTCTGGGCATGTTTCTTGTCCTCGGTTCACACTGAATGGGAGCAGTGGGAGCAGGGCTCATGAGCCCCAGAAGGGTCCTGAACACCTTCTGTTTCTTTCTCTCCTTGGACCAGGTCAGCCCGGGGAACCTGGCTATGCTAAAGATGGGCTCCCCGGGGCCCCCGGCCCTCAAGGGGAGACGGGACCAGCGGGACACCCTGGCCCCCCAGGCCCGCCGGGGCCCCCTGGCCAGTGTGACCCCTCCCAGTGTGCCTACTTCGCCAGCCTCGCTGCCCGGCCAGGGAATGTGAAGGGCCCCTAGAAGATTCCGGAATGCCAGGAGGTGGCACTGAATTTCTGAAACTTGAACTCAAAGCCTGATAAGAAGCCAGAGGTCTTGAAACATTACAGTCACGTGTTTTCTTTTTTCTTTTTCTTTTTTTTATCTTGCTTTTATCATTTGTTTTGTCTTATTTTCTTGAAGGACCTCAACATTATTAAAACCAAGAGATGCTGCCGGTCGGTCAGATTATTATTAATATTATTATTGTTTATTATTATTATTATTGTTATTATTATTTCATGTAATAATGCTCCACGAGTTTTCCCCTCTCCTCCGAAGCTGGGAGAACTTGATTGTGGGGCAGCGGGTTGTTTCTGGGTTCTTCCGACAGCCCCCGTCTGGAGTGGACCTGCCCATCTTGAGGAGACTCTTGGTGCTATGACGCCCTGACCAGACCTTTGCCAGATTTACCTCTTTCCTCACAAGGAAACTAGGAAAGTTACGGCAGTGGGCTTCCATTCTCCGCCATGCCCAGGAGAGACACGTGAAGCAGGAGGAGAAAGAGCGTGCAGACACCAAGGACGTTCTCCCCTCCCGCGGGGAAGTGCACTTGGAGAGCACAGGCTCGGTCCTTAGGGAGCAGACACGGCCACCTCAGTGCTTCAGGCTCGAGGACGCAAAATCACGGCACTTGACTTGGCAAAGGCTCCTTGGGATCCTGTGTGGGGGCCGAAGACAGGAAAGCCGATGTGAAGCCGTGGACGGGACTCCTTCCAGATCCTCAGTGTTGGTTCCACTCACTTGAATTGTGAAGTAAGGGGGTCCGGTGGCCACTGCCGTGATTTCCGGACGGTGGGCTGGCCGGGGGTGGGACATCTGTGCCTCCAGGGTTCTGCCTCGGAAATAAAGCGCATTGGGTGTGTGTGTGTGTGTGTGTGTGTGTGTGTGTGTGTGTGTACCTGACAGGTGCTCAATAAATCTGAGTTTCCTCTTCGGCCCTGCATGACGATTCCGTTCTTATCTCCGGTGTCCGCCTGCCTGTGAACCAAACCCCTTAAGGCCTGAGATGAATCATTGCGTTCTGGGGGGCGGCAGGGGGACTGGGGCCAGGCCACATGCCGATGCACAAGAGGGTGGGTGAGGATGCGTGAGCCAGCTCCGGGGCGATGCACCGTCATACCCCCCATCGGGGCAGCTCTGTTTTGTCCATTTTGGCGGAAGCCTTTTCCACGTGCCCATCCATGCAGGGTCACAGTGAGGAGGGGACACAGCCAGGGGGAAGGCTGGTTTCGGCAAAACTCGGGGCATCATCCTGCCCTTCCAGGGGCCAGCTGATTCACCATGGCCTGAGAATTACTCATTCAGCACAAGTTCATGTCTTAACTGATTGGTTAATTGATCCATCCATTCATCCATTCGATCACCCAGGCAGTCACCACTCGCAGACTAACATATGCTTGTCAAGCACTGCCTTTTTATCACCTCTGTGCCACATGCTTCTGATTTGGGAACCCGAGGAGTTGGAAGGTTCCATGCATGAAGAAGTATACTGCAGTGATTTTAAAATAAGGTCCACAGCTGCCCTTGTCCAGTTGGTTGGTGCTGAGTCTGGGGGGTGGATGGGGAGCGGGGTCCAAGGGCAGCCGGGTGCAGCGCCTGTCCCTGCACACAGACACCCCCTACCTGAGCCATTTTCACGTTCGCCTGCTCAGTTCATCCTGACAGCCATGTAAGTAAGACACAAGGGCTGGAGGGGACAATGTCAGCAACCTTAGACATCCTCTCATCCAGCGACTTAAACGTTTTTGACCATGATCCACAGCAAGAAGTACAGTTTCTTTGTGACTCAGAGAGTGCGTATGTAAATACAGAACAGGAAACATTGGGTGATTTGACATTTATCGTGACCACACACACACAACGCCCCGTAACATTTACTCTTCTATTTTATTTTATTTTTTTTTAATTTAATTTTATTTTTTTTTTCAACGTTTATTTATTTTTGGGACAGAGAGAGACAGAGCATGAACAGGGGAGGGGCAGAGAGAGAGGGAGACACAGAATCAGAAACAGGCTCCAGGCTCTGAGCCATCAGCCCAGAGCCCGACGCGGGGCTCGAACTCACGGACCGCGAGATCGTGACCTGGCTGAAGTCGGACGCTTAACCGACTGCGCCACCCAGGCGCCCCTATTTTATTTTTTTTTAAATGGTCATCACAGTCCACTAACTAGATGTCATGACTCACCAATGGGCTGCGACCTACAGTTTGAAAAATGATGCTCTCGTTTAGAGAGAGCCTGAGGCATGGAGAGGACCTGTGGCAGGCCCCAGAGCCTCGGTTGAATGTGATTATCTGAAGCCCTGCACATTTTCTCTCTGCACATTTCATTTTGCTCCTGTATTTTACGCCTTTCATCCATGCCTGAGAATGGAACTAGAAGAAGGGTTTTCTCTCCCTTGGAGAGAACCAAGGGAGAATGACCTTGGTTAAGACCAAAGGCTGCTCTGATCATTGGGGTTCTAGGACACTCGAGGGGGATGGCGAGAAGGGCCTGAGCTTTCCTCTTCCGGGGATCTCTAGGACATTCAGCTCCCCAGTGTGGCTTGGGAGAGGCCATGCCTACAGGTAACGAGTGGGATGCATTGTCTGTTCTGAGCCTTTTCCAGGCTCGGGGTCTGATGCGTTTCTGGAAACACATGAAAACATTAGCACAATTGAGGATTTGCATGGTTTCCATTTTAGAGTACATTAATATGGAAGATGATGGAAGTGTGTGTGTTGGGGGGGTGGGCTTGGAAGGTGGGCTTAGAAGGCAGCACTCTTAGGGGGCGCCCGGGTGGCTCAGTCGGTTGAGTATGTGACTCTTGATTTCGGCTCAGGTCATGATGTCCGTTTTCTTGGGTTTGAGCTTCGCATAGGGCTCTGCACTGACAGTGCGGATCCTGCTTGGGATTCTCTCTCTCTGCCCCTCTCCTTGTGTGCGTGTGCACACTCTCAAAATAAATACACTTAAAAAAGAAGAAGAAGAAGAAGCCAGGACTCTTTGGTTTCTTAGAGAACTTCCATCAGCCTTGCCAGGACCACTGCTCCGGAGAGCCACATCCAGGACCACTGTGTCATCTGAATGGGCTCTGGGGCGGGGGAGGGGGAGGAGGGGCTGTTTGCTAGATGACGCTCATGGTGCCTGGACTGAGAACTGCAGAAAGCTGGAGTTATGGGGTAAAGAAACGCCACCGTGGTGTTTTAAAGCCACACTCCTCCGCGGGCCCCAGGGGTTCTCGAGGGGCCTTGTGAGCAGCTGGGAGGAGAGAGGGACCAGATGGGGCTTCCGGTCTCATCTTTCCCCAACCAGGAAAGTTCTCGTTGCCTCTCTTTGGGCTTTAAGAAACAGGTGGTTTTTGTGCCCACGCCGCTTTGCGTGTCCCTGACCTGTGCAGTCCTCGTGGCCGGGCCAGGGTCCCACCTCAGGAGTCATCATGGTGCTCCCCACTCTTTGGGTTCATGGCTCTCCCAGTGCCCCGGAGGCCTTTCTGCCCAGAGAGGCAGGGTGGCTGGTTCCTGCTCAGGGCGACCCTCTGTCACGAGGGGTGGGAACCCCAGGAGGAAGGCCTCTGCCTCCCTCACTCTGAAGGGATCATTCAACGATCATGGTGTGATTCTCAGACCGTCCCCAGGGCAACAGGACCCTAGCAGCCCCCAGCTACTGTCCCCAGCAGTGATCTTCTCAACAACCCATTCTGGTGGCTGTCCCTGCCTCCCTGCCTATGTCTCAAACTACCCTTGTGTCCTTGGGTCAGGCTCTGCTTTCAAGAAAACCCCACTAAGGCAGGTGCATCCAAAAGGGAGAGGCCTGGCCCGACAGCAAACGTACAGCAGGCAGGCGAGGATTACACAGAGCCTGGGAGCTCGTTCTGGGGCAGCTCGGTCGGCCATTTCCTGTCACCTGGGAGAGCCCCAGGACCACAGCACAGGGACGCCCCCACCTGCCATCACCACGTCAGGCTTAGTTTCAGTGGAAACTGCTTGCCCAGCACGCAGGGTACGGTGTCCTGACCCGGGGCTGGTGTTACCAACCTGGCACCCTGACCACCTCGCATAGCCTTTGACGTGGGCCCCTGGTGAGACCCTGCCCAGGGCATCATCGCCCCGGAGACTCCAATGAAACACGGGGGTCCTGGCCTACACAGAGAAGCTCTGCGCCCAGCCCCTCCCCCAGGGCACGCGTTATTTTCTTTGCTTCTGAGGTCGCCACTTGCTTTCAATTCGGTATGTCTGTTTTTCTTCTCTTCTCTGCGACCTCCTGGAAATTTTTCAGCGCGTGGCCGCCAACGGTTCTATCCGTTCCTTCCCACACCTCTTCTGGAGTGGTGACATCTGTATTTTGGCTGTAACACTTCCTGAGATGTGAAATCCGGAAGCCACAGTAGGGAGGGAACACCCCTCACCACGGTCACCACGCAGGGCTCAGGCGTTCCCCAGCCTCCCACAGGAGGGGCGAAGGTCGGGTTCAGGATCTCCAGGGTACCTGTGCGTGTTACGCCCACCTCTGTGACCCTTGCATGCTGTGGGCACCGCCCAGGAAGAGCACGGCGTGTTCAGTGAGGCAGGACAGGACGCTGTGACGGGCCATGCACATGACTGGGGCTTTTCTCCCGGTGATGTGGCCCTGAGAGGTCATTGGTATCCGTTTCCCCAATGTGTGGATGAAGTCCCAGCATGGGAGGGAGGGACAGGGGCCAGAGCTGCCTCAGGACTCTGAGCTGGTCAAGTAGAAACCCTCGGGTAGTAGGAAGGTGGGGTGGAAATTTCTAGATCACACAAGTATCAGCAGATTCTGGGGAACCTCCAACAGACCTTTGTTCCAACACCTGTTATGCACCAGCCCTGGGGTAGTCCCTGTCCCCAAGGAGTTGTCATCTGGTGACAGGGTGGGCACCATGTCAGGGGGAGGCACAGGACACACTGTGCCATAGTCACCAGGTGGGATTTGCCTGGGGCCGGCAAGGTGTGGGGAGGGCACCGTTCACCCAAAAGGTA